CGTTTCGTTGGTGAAATCAAGCAAAACGTGCGAGGCTTCCATCTGGGTCTCGTGCTCGAATTTCATAAATAAATCACAAACAGAATTGCTTTACCACCTGCCTCCGTTTCGTGCGTTAATTTCAAACCAAACCAAAGGTTGGTAGTAACTCCACTTGCGTACGTACACTCTTGACATAACAACATACGTGCCCAATTTCTTTAGATCTTTGAATATGTTCAACTGCGAGTTAGTCTATACCTCTAATCAATGTACTTAGCATGCCGATTATTAAGGAACGGTCCTTTATAGTTTTGTATTGTCGTCCGTCCGTCCGTGTGCGCTCTAACTCTTTTTAAAAGTGGCCGATTGTTTTGAAATTTGGTGTACGGGTACTTTGAATATTAAGGACGGATGCTATTGATTTTCAGGAAGCTGGTTCAACAGGAACAAAAGTTACAGGTTACTGGTGAATCGGGAACAGGAAAAACTGCGGGCTCAATATAATATAAATCAACATATTTCATCCCCTAGGTCATGTATCGAGTTCGGACTTTCGCTAGATTATTCTATATGACTGTTAGATGTGTAACAATTCAATATAAATCTTCTCTGTGGTTTAGGTCAAAAGTTTGAGAACAAATATGTACCCAAAATTATTCTTTACACGTATGAATTTGGAGCTTTAAAAATCGTTATTTATGCACCAAGATCGTTGGGAAAAAGACCAAGAGCATTATCTCAATGGCCAAAACATGAATTTGATCTATTTTCGGCGACCACATGAATTTTAATCAAAACATGTCAAAATCGTTATTTATGCACCAAGATCATTGGGAACAAGATTAAGAGCATTATCTCAATGCCCAAGAATGAATTTGATGTATTTTTTTAGTATCAATTGATTTTATTTAAATATTATATAAAATATTTCGAATATTTAAAACAGGTTTAAAGATTTAAGAGAGAAAGAAAATTTTTAATTGTAAGATTAAAATAAATTATCGTTAAAAGTGATTGTAATCTGAGGATCCTTCGATATTTCGTTGTATCGGTTTATTCTGATTAAGTTGTGACATCCGAGGGTTTTTAATTCTGTTCAGTGGCTGTGCATTCAATCGCAAAGGGTGAATTATTTATGTTCGCAGGAAGTGACACAAAATTAAATTAAAACAGTCCTTAAATAGATTGTTTTATAACAGTTAATTGTTATTTATCGCTTACTTGTACATTCCTCACATTTATAACACGAGCGCGAATTTCAATATTGATCTCTTCGGTATCGATCGCGGTATAGATGTTCAGACTTAAGACTACCCACATTTCAGTTTGCTCGAAAAATCTCTAGAGCGTATCATATTTCACAGCAAAGATGAGTTACATCAATATTCACTCCTTATGGCCGATGACTAATCTAATATCGACTTGATGGCGCCTCCAGAAAGTTATAGAAGGATCGCTATACTGCTCTCCTTTTGAAACCATCATCCGCCGGTCGAGGAGGACCGCCTTGAAGTGATGTACTACACCCAAACAATTTGTCTCAGTCGCTTGTAGCTTGCAGCTCTAGCCTTGGGCTTCTACTGTTTGTCGATGTTGGCCATGTCTTCCTTTTGTTACCGTTGTAGTACCCTCCTGGAGTGCTTTTTCGTAAGTTCTTGATTCCCGCCAACGGGAACGATGTCTTGTTCCTCTTCTGGGAGAGTGTGCGTTATTGCTCTTGGATCAATGCGTTTTTCCGACTCCAGTCAGCAGTTGAGTTTCGTAGGCACGGAATTTAACATTTGACGCGGTTGGTGAAATTGAAGTGCGTTGCAGCACCCCCCTGGGCCGCTTCCTCTTTCGTTCTTGTGTTCCGGCCACAGGTGTGATGTTTCTGATGTGCTCGAGGTCGGAGTTGCTTAGCTTCTTGAACACTTTCTCGGCCATCGAGCGGATATGGTGGGATAGGGTGGGTGTTTTCAGGACTTGCCGGATGTCTTCGTTCCTTACGCACCTATCTGTGTACGTCTTCCAGTCTGGAGAATGGTACGTAATGATTGTTCGAACGCACGTCTTCTAGATGGCGAGCTTGGTTGTTCTTGTAAGAGAACTACCGTTAAGTAGTGGATAAACTTGTGCTCTTCTTCCTCGGACTTACTTCTTCCGCGTGGTTGCCGAATGACAGCTTCCTGCCGATTGTTACTCCCAGGTTGCGGATGGAGGGACACCATTCGATTTCATGTCCGGCGACGCATAACTTGTTGTACTGCTGGTAGTATGGTAAATATCACAGCCTAGATTTTGGATGGGTTGAATTTATAGTTGACTACGTTATCGATGGATGGCTGCATACTTCGTATGGCGATGTTTAGAAGCCTGTGATTGCCACGGATCATGAGGTCGTCGGCGTACAACGCTATCTTCACCTCGGACTGGCCGGTACGTCGTGAAGATGTTGAATAGTATCGGAACCAGGCAACCGCTCTGCGGTACTTCTGCTATCGTTGGATTGGCGTTTAATAGTTTCGTACCTACTCTGGTTCGGTCAGTTAGGTAGTGGTCGATCAGTTGGATTAAAGCAACTGGCATGTTTGAAGTTCTCGATAGTTTGAAGATGAGGCTTGCACCCATACTTGATCGAATGCCTTCTGTTGTCGAATGAGGTTGCTCTCTTGAAGTTTTCGGCCACAGTGTCCAAGAGCCCGATGATCTGCTGGGTGGTGGAGTGATTTTTTCGAAACCCAAACTGTTCGGGTCGGATGTTGACGTGCGGATGCATGCAAAGTAGAAGTATAATCTCGAATATTTTTCCCCGCCCAGGAAGCAGAGAGATGGTGCAGTAGTTGCTTGGATTGGTGAGGATCTTTCCTGGTTTTTGGCAGCAAAAAATGCTTCAGTACGATGATGGAGTTGAATAAACGTGATGTATGCTAGAACCGTTCTGTTGATATTTTACAGAGCCCTGTAGGTGATATCCTCGTGTCTCGGAGTTTCTCGCGGCTTCTGTCTGAGGAGTATGTCTCTATCTTGGGTCGGCGAGGTTAATGGTTTAGGTTTCCATATTTATACACTGCCGACTCTTTGTTGCGGAAGTTCGCCCAATTGCGGGTCGGATGTCGCAATCCCTGTCGTAGGGGTTAATGGCGGAGCCGGGTCGAATGAGGTAACAGTCGCTCCCTTTAAATGGGTTGATGTACTTGCTGGAGTGGGTGGCGGTGACGTGGTGCCTCGTTGTTATCGGGGCGATGTTGGCGAGTTCATTCCTTCTAGCGGAATGGGCGGTTCTGTGGTTGAGCTTGTGGTGCCAGATTTTGGCCGCGTTGGCGGTTGGGCGCCGGGCGGAGAACGTGGAGGTGTACCTGCCTTATCCGTTGTTTTCTTACTTCTTCGTCTTGTTCCACTCTGGCTGGCCGGTCAAGTTTCACATGTCACTCTTGTGGTCGTGGAAGCTCGTATCCCAGGGGAGTGTGGCTGGGCATTGTTCCTGAAGATGAATCCGGGGGCCTTTCACGTTTTTCTGGTTCATTCTCTCCGCCGGGTTGACCTGAGGGCGGAATATGGGGGTTGTCTAGTGGTGACATCCCCTCTGCCTTGGCGCGGCATTCCTAGTGACAGAGAGGAACTGCGGCCCTTTGTCTGATGTAATAGCTCGAGGTCATCCGTGCCCTCCAAGAAATTCTCGTTCGTGGTGGTGAAACGCCGAGCGAACGCTTTCACCCACATGATGTAGATATCCGTTACTACCAGAATGAGTCTGTTCCTCATTGTGGATTCGACCTACGGGCCCATAATTCGACGGATTTTACTTCCCAAGCTCTGATTGGCTTGGCGAACAGTGGCTTCCTGTATAGACCGGCCTTTTGTGGTTGTGCACCCCCAACACCCTTGCACTTCATCCCACACGTGATTTCCTATCTTCACCCAGTGATGGCTCCGGTCGTTCTTTTGGCGTCTGGGTGACCGTCAGTGACTGCGTCGTGGTGAGTTTGCATGACGTCCTCGTACATTTCCCGCGGCATTACCAGAAGTGCGCCTTGGTGGCTTCTTCGATAAAGGTGGTTGTTGCGTATGATGTACTGTTCTTGTAATCGTGCATGTGTGGGTGTTTATAAAAATAATAATATTAGGTGTTGCAGGACCGCCTGACGAATTCGCTTCCATAGGTTCAGCAACTGTTGGACGGGTGGGTTCTAGTTCTGGCTAGCCTTCACGCGATCGGTTAGTCCCGCAACCTCGATGACGACGATGGTATGAATCTTTTCGGCGGCCGATGACGTTGGTGCTACCATCCTGTCTGTATCTTCTACCTTACGTTCTCCGGCCGCGCTGTCAAAGAGGTTGCGAGAATTGTAGTCGGGGATTTTCCGGGTAGTGAACCACGTCAAACGAGAAGTCCTGTAGTCTCTGCTCGGCTCTCGAGGGCGGACGGTGGCTTCCCGTATCGGCCCGCGTTTCGTTGCTGTGCACACCCAACCCAACATCCTCGCCCGTAATCCCGGAAGAGTGCCCAGCGAGTGAATGCACTCCACTCTTTCGTCTTGTTAATCCATAGAAGTGCTCGACTGTCGATTTTCAGCGTTTGACCACCCTGTAATGATGTGAAATTTAATGAGATTAATTCTTAATTTGACTCTTGTCTTTGCCCTGATCCTAAGTACCACAGTACTGTTCCCTGGTTAGAGTAGCGATTGTAGATCCCTCTATTGAAGCCGAAGTGCGGTTGTAACACCGCTTTCCATCTCTCCAGTTACCCTCCTTGAATTAAGGGTGTCCGGCTGTGTAGCTGCCTCTCAATTAAAGTAGATGTGTCGGTTGTAATATCGCGCTCTCCCCATTTACCTCTCGTGAATTAAGGGTGTTCGTCTGTATAGCCGCGCTAGTAATTAAGTGTACCTCTCTTGTGTTGACAATCTGTTTGTTGGTATATTATTATGTAAATAACTATTTAACTGGAATTAACCGTAGCCGATTTACTAAACACGGAAAACGTATCGGCGATGATTCAGACAGCGTTTACTCTAGACAGCGTGCGTGTTTTCCACGAACTGTCAATTTTGATTTATCCGCCGTATTCGTCCCAGTGTTTGTAATCATGGAATTTTTATTTACCAATGAACGTACCATTCATGATAGGTTCCACCCGTATGAGTACAACGGAGGGTACGTATACGTAGGCCCGTATCTTCCAAAAGTATCTCTTCTGCTGCTAGAACGGTGACTGCAATAGCTGGAGCAGATTACGCGGTGATCGCGGCGGATACACGATTAAGCAGCGGATCATTCCCTTTCGCCATTTACACGAGGGAACAGAAAAAGTTATTCCAGTTAACCGAAAAGACAATAATCGGTTTTAGCGGATGCTGGTGCGATGTGGTAACTTTCAGACGCATAATGCAGGCACAAATGCAAAGCTACAGACTTCAGCATAATAAAACAATGTCCGTTACGGCGATAGCGCAACTGGCATCGACGTTGATGTATTATAAACGTTTCTTTCCATTCTGGATGTCTACAGTTCTTGCTGGGCTTGACGACGATGGTGCCGGGTGCGTTTTCGGATACGACCCATTGGGTTTTTATGAACGACGTAGTTACGCTTGCGCTGGTTCCGGTGGAAAGTATATCTACTCCTTCTTCGACAGTTGGATTGCACGCAAAGATGTCACCTGCGCACATGCGGAGGTGATGGGGTTAGAGGATGCTATCGAGATTACTAAAGACGCATACATAAGTGCGTCCGAACGAGATATTTTCACAGGCGATAGTGTTCAAATTAGGATTGTTGATGAAAACGGAGTTGATTATGATGAAATCAACTTGAGGAAGGACTAATCACTAATTAACTTTTTAAATAAAGGATCCCCTTTATCTTATGCGGAATTATTACTTCTGTTCTCCTGCATATTGCATGCATTTATGAAGAGGTCGGTATACCATCTACAGATACTTTTTTTTTGAATGCACATGCGAGCGGCAGGAGGTCTTCCAAGTTTTGTTTATAAAGAAGCATTTAGTCAAATTAGGCATAATTAGCATTTACCTTTTTAGCGCATTTTCAAGTCATCATGAAAGGCGATAATATGACCACTTTCTCCATTCGTGCGTCCTAGTCCACAACTACTCCTACCGTTTTAAAGATATTTAGTTCGTCCTTTTTGTATTCGGTAGCTTGTAACTCTGAAACATGAACAAAAAAAAATCCTGGAGATTGATATGCGCATGCGCAAACCGCGCAATACCAACTTTATTTAATTAATTATTTAAGCAAGGTATAGACATTTTGGAGAAGCGTTGGAAACAATTATCGCTTGTGATATTTCACAATATATAGGTTTGAAAATGTTACCGCCACGTTGGTTGCTCCAATGATGTTGATTTTTCTTACTGACTCCTTGACTTGTAGTTGCTCCTTAGGTTATTAACTCGTTGTATGGAACTAACTTTTTGTGCTTTACCTATATGAATACCTGTTACGCATTATGTGCTAAATAAATAATGCAGTATTGGTAATGTCCAAAATTTCATTCGAGTACATTTATGACAAGAAAATTGTGAAAGCTGTGCTCAGATAAAGCGCGAAATTTGAATGTCCCACCAAAATTAAAGTCGATACGATACTTGAATTACATCTTCAAATCAATAAATACTGTCAAATGCAGGTAAAACGCATGTAAACGCTAATTCAGAGAACCCAAATACAAACGCAATTCAGTCTGTTTAGTATACGTAGAATGCTGACGTACTTTATCTCAAACAGCTGATGTAACTGTGACGTCACAATGAACATACAGATAAACGGCTCAAGTTTTCACAATTTACGGATAAGTACAACGGCCACAAAGGCTGGGTTATTACAACGAAGGCCCCCTTCCAATCTTACATCATTTTCACAGAAATATCCGATCTGAATAGCAATTGCTCCATCAATATTATCGACGTTCAACAACAAAAGCTTTCAATGTAATGTCAAATTAGATCATAGTAAATTCTAATCTACCGATTGGCATATATTTTAATTGCTTTCCTTATGAACCGATGTGTTTATTTGACAACGAGGTCATACAAGGGACATTTTTATGAGCCCTTTGATTTTCGGAATTGCGAATTCGGCTCTAGCAAACGGCGATGTACAAAACACCGGTCGAGATCACTGAGCTATAATTATACTGGAACGCGCGCTCCGTCGGCCAGCGCGATCTGAGAGAGAGGGTCACAAGGGGATCTCTGTCCTAGTCTCGCGCATGCATAGAGCAGCCTATTTTATATGTTTTAAATTTATATTAATGATTTGTTTCCCAATGAGTGACAGTGACAGAAATCCCCCTTGCGCACTATCTCTCTCGGCGCGCTACGTTTCTATGGCAGAGACCGCCAGTACGCGTTCCAGTATAATTATAGTTCAGTGGTCGAGATAGGTCAAAACAAATCGACCTATGAAATGTTTAATATTATTTTCCTCGTACACATCCGGCTTCCATTATAACGAAAAATCCCAATACTGACTTAAATTTGATTACACTTCGGAGACACAGTGGTCTCGATCAACTTCCGATAATTAACTAAATAAAATTTTGATTGACACCGGACATGAAAAGAAAAATCTATCCGAGTTTCACAATGGGTTCAATTAAATACATACTTAATGAATTGACAAAGACACCAATTTATTCAAAGTATAAAAGAAATGAAAACAACATGGTGGCAAAAAATGCATTAAAAGCTTGTCTTGACGCATACCACGCACGCAGGCGGTCGACAGACAATTAAATAAAAATATGTTGATTACTTATAGTTTTTTTCAATAATCCTGTCGTACAAATTTTGCCATATTCAGGCGCACTTAGAATCCACTAATACTCGTTGACAGTTTCTGGAGCTTACATTAAACTGAAATAAGGTGGCCTTTTGGACGGATGAACACGTATACATTTATTAAATGACAAACCTTGCAGAAAGGCTTCATTACGCAAGAACTGCTTGGTTGACTCCCACTCGTACTAACATTTTTCCAAAAAACGGACAAAACTTCTAAAAAACTTATTATGATCACGACGAAATACGTCTCCAATAGGGTAAAATGCGCAATCTAACAGCGTAACAAAATGGACAACACTGTTACTAACAAGCAAGCAAACAAACCCCGTTAAAACGTCTCCAGCCTCCACCACGCCTACCATAAAATATTTACAAAAGCGGTAAAATTAAAACGAAAATTATGCTTCTACACAAATTTCTAAAATGAAAACATATAGTGCAATACAAATTCAAACGAGACGATCACACTTTGTGTTTATTCGTAAAAAAAGGTTTACACTTAACAATTGAAATTGTTTCAGATACAGGATGGCCCAACGGTGTTGAAGGTAGTGAAGCCAAAATAATGCCTACATGACGTAGTTTGCGCAACCGATGTTAAGAAAGAAACTACTATCGGTTAGTTTTTTTATAAAGAAACACAAAGTCGTGGAAGTCTTCAAAAAGCGGACACGAATGGTTAAATTCAACTTACTTATACAGGGTGATTCGAAATTCTCGCACACCGACTGTGGGATGGTGTTATACAACGAAAACTGAATAAAAAGTTCCTCTACCAGTTTTTGATCAGACCGGCACTTTTTTTTTCGACGTGCTGAAGCTTGTTTACTAGCAGACGGCGGACATTTTGAACAACTGTTGTAATTACGTACTCCTCATAATTATAGTTTATTTTGAACCTTCTTTTGTTTTTAAAAATGTGTTATTATTAAGTTTAACCAATGGCGCAGCGAAGGGGGGCGGAGATTTTTAAAACCGCGGTAGCTCGAAAAATAGCGGTCTGATGGAAAACTGGTAGAGGATCTTTTTGTTCAGTTTTTGTCGTATAACACCATCCCATAGTCCGTGTGCGCGAATTTCGAAACACCCTGTATACAGTACATACAGTCACAGTAGACTGGTTTAGAAAACGTCGTAACGCATCAGCTCGAGAATTAACTTTTTCGATTAGATACTACTACAATATCACAATATATTATTGTGTAAACACCGTCATGTAGAGGTTATTTTGGTTTACACCCCAAAAATAATGACGGGCACCATGTATATGACAATATTTCAATTTATTATAAGTGTCAATCTGGGGGATTATCTACGAATAAGCACAAAGTTGTTTATTGTACTTGAATTTGCTTTCTCAGTGTCTATTTTTCCTTTTAGAATTGGGTATTATTTTCTTGTTTAAATTTTATCGCGTTTGTAAATTGTTTATTTAGATTTGGGTATTTATTTGTAAAACCTGGAATTGCGTGTTTAAAATGTACTGGATTTCCCAATCGTCTTGTTTTACAATTAGGATATCGCCCGAGCAAAATATTTTTGCAGCAGTACTGCACACTCGAATACTAACAAGTATTTCTTTTTCACTGTAATTGAACGTGATTTTCAAAGCACATTCGAAAAACAAGTTAACCTTGCAAAATCAAACGGCCTTGGAAACTCCGGTAACCTTGTAAAATTCTCAAGCGCATTCGAGAAACCGTTAACCTTGGTAAATCAGGTTCCGTTTTTGAAAAACTATGATCACGGTATAAAATGGGATGATGGATACATTAAATTGAAAAGAGGTGCGCAGACTGCTCCCAGCCTTCAATCGAATTTACGTCAAAGGCAGTGAGAAAGAGTGTGTACTAAATTTCCTTGGCAAACCTGTTGTAAATATGAATGATATCGGATATCCTTCTTTGACGAAATTGAAAAGGGGTCTTACATTTGCCTTCATCATAGCGAGGGCACGGCCATATTTGCCAAAGAAAATTCAATAATGTACGAGTGGGAAAATGTATGCGGACTAACTGCGGAGATCGCTTGGCCAAATTCAGAAGAATGGCCCCTGGGTTGTTTCTGCTGCTGATGAATTATCGAATATTACATATACACTCCAATAAATTAAAATTATTATTTTTGTTTCTATTTGTTCTCTTTTATTTTCTACTATTATTAGAGAGATGTTCATGCGTTAAGAATTCTCACCAGAACATAATTCGTTTTTCACATGTGGTAACCCTTTTTAGAAATTCAATTTCTCTCCATTTTGTATACGTCCAAGATGGCGGAAAAAATGTCACGGTTCTACAAAAATCTAGAAAAGCTTGCCAGTAAAAACTAACAACTGCAAGAGAAAACTAAAAATTTCTAGAAAAAACTAGCAATCGCAGGGAAAGTGATATAAATTTCACGGACCCTTCACGCTTTCGTACCCTTTTCTTTTAGTGGACTGGGAAATTTATCTTGAAAAACAGTTTAATATTCACGCATCGCAAAGAGTATTTTTGGAGTGACGTCCGACAGTGAGGAAATGCATATTTTATTACTTGTATTAACGTTTAGTTGCTTTTGTGTAAAGTTGGCATGTGGTTTATAAACAACTCGGCGTTGGTGGAGCATTAAAACTTTATAAGTAGTCTAAAATGCGCATTCCATAAATAAATAACATGACGAATACTATCTCAGGCTACTTGAAAATGCTTTAAAAAGTTTTTTCGCCTGTTTTAAGCTCTCGGGTGTCGAAACTACTGTGCCACTTTCCAATTGTAGATGCGTTGGTTAAAAATCAATGTTTGCAGTTCTTTTGCAACTTGCCTACACATTCACATGTTTTACTATTGTTTAGGTCGTAACAATATTGCATAGACAATAACAGTACGGGTGCGACTTCAATGAGATAGCGCATCTTTTGCACATTGTACTATAATGAATACTATGCCATTCATGCACTTTGATTATTATGAAATGTTTATAAAAAGTGGACCCGTTGTGCTATATGGTTTAATTTAATTACCTCCCTATTCTTTTTTTACCTATATCGCAACCCGAAACACACTAATTAATGGGGTACGTAAGTTTGAATTAATCGGATTTGGGTCTGTTTTTGGCATTGTAGCTTTTGGATTAACTTAGATTTTGTACATCAACATTCGGACGAGAATGCGCTTGGGTTACAAACTGGCGTATATGGACCTGTGCGGCCATAAGTGGACGTGTAATGTGCATTTCTTTAGGTTTTTTACTGTTCATGTTACCAAACAAACCGCGCCGTTTCTTGATCGATTTGTAACTGGTTTTGCAATGTCAACAAATCCTTTGATATACTTGCAGAAGTAATTCGTTAGTTTTAGAAATTGTCTGAAAGTATGCCCATCAGTTGGTACAGAAATATTTCTAACAGAGTCTACTTTCTCGTACAATTTCGTTCTTGTCATTTATTTCGGAAAGAAGATAGCGGGATTTATCAAAACGTAGGGATATCTTCCCTCGGGCATTTAAGAACGTCGGTCCACTGTCTACGTCATTTGATGTGCCATCTGTGTGTGCCAGAGCTGTCGAATAACGTAAGGAACCCAACTAGGAACCCAATTTGATGTACGTCTCGGTGAAATATCGCAGGTGCGTTTACTAAACCGAATGGCCGAAACCTAGTGGAACCACTCTAGTGTCACGTTGTCGGTGTTTTCAATCGAATGGTTGGCTATTGCAATCTAGTGATAGCCTAAGGCAAGGTTTCAACTGGTAAAAAACTGTGCACATTTGAGATTATCCAATAAATCATATATTAACGGTAAAGGATACACATCCTTAACGGTTCTGTTCTGTAATCAACGCACACTCGTGATTCGCCATTCTTCTTGCGTTCTAAACGAATTTGATTTGCATGCTGTGATGAAACCTGTTAGAATTTCGCTGATTTCGTCTTCAGAAAACGCGCGCCTGACGATTATGTTCATAAGCAATCTCAGTCAGGATTTCTTTACCATTGAGGCACATCTCAACGGAACGCTCTGATGTTTTTGGGTTAATAATTTCCGGAAGGCGCATTGGTCGATGAATTACGTGAGAAAGTTGGAAGCGCTAGTGTGGCGCGTTACAAAGACAAACTTAATGTACGTGAGCAAATTGCCGATTCGAATCCGCTATGATTCAGAGCATGTGAACCGCTGAGCCAAAGGTTTTGGTAACAGAGACTTCTTGCAAATTGCTTTTCTAAAAATGGGATTGGTGAAAGATGAACGCTATGGTAGAACAAATAAAAATGGCCGTCGAACCCGATTAGCAACCATTTTGAAGGCGTATTTGTAAAATAAAGCAGTAGGGATTAAGCCGAGGGAGGTAGGCGGAAGGCATTAAGCGGTAAGTGTTCAGCGTGAAGCCACGATAGGACTCGGAAAAGGCGTTAAGTTAGAAGCGCAACAGGAAAAATTAATTATAGGGTAGATCGCGGGAGTATCGAGAGCGCAGTTGAAAAAGGTTCATTTAGTTACTAGTACGTGTCGAAGTTCAAGGGTGGTTTCAGTGCGAAATCAATTAACCCTTCCCGTTACGAACCTAAATTAGAGTCAATCATTGTCTTGTTTATTCCACGATACTTAGTTTGAGAGGATCCAGTACTCCCATGCGCACAGCGCCAATCTTTCCGCTAAATTATAATTTCGTCATGTCTGCAACTGTTTAGGCACCTAGGCTGTGTTCCAATATCGAGCGAATTTACATTTTCGGTGTGTTTGTGGTAATAAACCAAAATTAGCTAAAGCTATAAATTGTAAGTAATTTCAATCATATTTTATAAGGTTTGCTTGGATTCAGTGGCGTTTACGTACAATTATTTCTGGCTTTCGTTCTAGAGCAAGTAATGTTTAGGATTGTTCTAACAATTGAGATACCCTTTTAGGGAAACGTTTCGTAATAGACGTACTAAACATCAACATTCCCAAATCCCCGTTAAATAATCCAGTAACAAACTAAACATCAAACTCTGCAGGAAATGTTAGTATAATGTGTTACAACGAAGTTAAAAGCTCAACTTTAAGATGCCATTAAACAAAGATTCAACTTTAGTAGTTCGACTATAGTTTACGTAAACTTTGCAGCTAAATCTCGATGTCATCTAAATTTTGCAAAGACGCTTTAACTGAAATTTTATTGAAATTCAATACGTGCTTGAGCGAACTTAATTCTATTATAATAAAGCAAAATGTCAAAATCACCTGCTTGATATTTAGAGACGACATTGTTTCTAAGTTGTAATGGATTTGTGCACTCAATATTAAAACTTGTGCGGAATTAGGTGTCACGAAATTGCAGAACTGAGAGAAATTAATATCCATTTTGAAACAGCCTCACCTAGGCATGAGTAAAACTTGTACAAAAGGAATAGCAAACGTTTTAGTAGATGAGGGTTGCAAGTCGCCTCTGTTATTAGGTATTAAAGACAGAAGATGGGTTTTCACATCAGGATTACTGCAAACGTAACGGTTAAAATGGTTTGAATTTTTGATTAGACAAAAAGTCCACCCGTACGAGCGAGTAAAATTTTAATTCGCGCAAATGCAATTGCTATTTTGTGGAGGTTGTGGCAAAATTAAATTTAAGATTTCCTTTAAAGTATTAATCCGATAATTTCTACTATCGTGTTGTGGGTTGAATAGACTATATCTTTTATTCATTACTTCTATTTTTGTTAAAAAATACGACATTTACATTGTGAAAGGAGATACTGTCCACTACACACTTGCTAACAAGCTGTTCTAAACTGTGGGGGCGGGATAAACAGGTGAGAGAGAACTAAAGTATTGACGTGGGTCTGCTAAATAATTAAAACGTTTAATTTAGTATTTCAAATCTCAATTAATATTTCGAAACTATCGATTTCAGAAGTTCCTATTCCGATTTAATAGTGCAGTCTGACAGTCTCTTCCGCATTTGAATGTAAACCAGTTTTTTTACAAATATAGTATTGTTTCTATGCTAAATTCTCATAGTGTTTGTAGGTCAAAAATTCGATCATGTGATTAAAGCAATAAAGGCTAAAAGAATTACATTTCGAGCATGTCTAAACGCCTAATGTGGCTCTAAAGGAAGCGGGCGAGGAGTTGGTCAATGAAACTCAGAAGAGTAAAGTGAGTGAAGATGGGCAATACCGTTTGGGACTGTTAAGTTCGAATCCCACAGTACTGCAAGGTAATTTCTTTTCATTTAACATTCATTAATTGCATCGAATACTTAATAATTTGCACGTAGCCTTTATAATTCACAAAACTGGCGTGTGGTCTAAATGCATCGAAATAAACGCATCTCCCGATATTAATTATTAGTTTGTTTATTTAAGATGTAGCTTCTGCGGGATTATGTTTTCGGCCAACGTTAATTATTATAAATTAAAATGTAATCCTTGCGAAATTATGCGGTTAACGTCAATTATTTGTAATCGGAATTAGTGTGCTCAAGTATGTGAGCAGCTAACGTAAATTATTTTAAATGTAGATGAAAGAGCTAATTATTTGAAATAATTTATTTCCTTTTGTTCGCCTCACTTATAATTATACCATTTACGTTATTGCAGCTGTCGCAGGCCATTTGAACCCTTATTACCAGTTCGCGTTTCCGTGGCCAGTCGATCTGGAGATGCTGTTTTCGCGAGCTTGTTTAGACATCATTTAACTACTTTTTCATAAAAAAAAATCGAACCAATGCATTTAATTTTTTTTTAGAAAATTAATCATTTCTGTCGGAATGCCGAAAAAAGCCCTCAAGCGGCGATATGTGAAACTAACAAAACTTCAAATATTATAATATTTGTAGCGGAAGAACAACTCTTTTGAACTAACCCGAGTTTGTTTAAATCGGCTCAGCCGTTTCGAAGATACGGAAACGAATACCCCCCACCACTTCAGTTTTAGAGATACAGGAAAAATTGTCATACAAAAATGGTTCAGATTACAATCGACTTCAAAGACCGGACATTTTTTTGTTAGGTTAATATAGCGGAATTCACTGAAACATCACTTTTAGATTCCAGATTGCAGTTACGCCCCCTAGCGGTCATTTCAGAAACATTTTCCAGGTTTTGCTCATGGCCGTTTTAGTAATAACTTTTTTTACCGCAAGCCTTTACGATGGATATATTCTCAGATATAGTACCTCGCATTCTTAGTTTGCCACCCTGTACAATGCTATAATGATTTATACTTATTTACTTCAATTTGCGTTCTTAGTATTCAGAAAAATGAAACACCAACCGTTTTGGTGTTCATTTTCGTATTGTAGGCGATTTAAGTTACATATTGTAGCGAATTTTCTAGAGCGATATCACGACGCCATCAAGTTACACTAATTCTTACTAATGCATACTGCTGTTCTCTATCAAATACCCGAAAATTGGGTCCACCTCTCGGAAGGGGAAGAGGGGGCAACTTTGTAATTTCAAGTGGGAACTCAAATTCCATATCTCGATTCTACTCCAAAAAAGTATGAAGAATGTATTAGAAACCTGGGCTATTTGCTAAGCATGTTTAAGTCCCTAAGTTACAAAATGGGTAAACGGTTGGCCTGGACTACTCCTAGCATCTATGCGGAAGTGATAAAGACTGAAGCCCGTACAGGTAAAAGTAAGTGATATGATAACAATTAGTAACTGTTAGACATTCATCAGTAATTAATTTTAAATAAATAATCATGTAATTAAATTTACGTTACAATATTGAAGTTCTTTCGAAAAAAAAGATGAGATTTTTGGTTGAAATTTCCAAACCAAACACTAAAATTTTGAACAAATTCTTTTCATTGGTTCGCCTGAAAGTTATGCTAGCGTAATGAGTAAATTAAATTGACGATATTTATGCATGAAAAATGAAAATACTCTTCTAAAAACAAAATACGAAAAACGCGATTCGTTACAACATGCACGTAATGGATTGACTTTCGTAGATCACGGTAGAAAAAATTCCTAGGGGTAGCATTTTAATAAGCTTCACGAATAATTCAATAAGGTACCTACCCTTGAAAATGAGACTGCCAGTAAGATTAAATGGGAATGGAGGATAGAGGATAAGGGCACAAGCTCGGGTTATTTAAAGATTCATCGGATAACGTCAATGTTATTAGGGAGAGACTTCAGAAAAATAATCTGCGGGGCATCACGCCATTTTAATAAGAATATAAAACCTTCATAGCTAAAAGACAAGCTCGTAAATATATAGTTCACCGTAAAGCGCACACTGGAAGTTTTACGATTTCGGAGATAAATAGTTTATTGCTTTGGTACGCGGGAATGTATACAATAAGCGGTCTTTAAAAGATTTGAAAAAAAGGAAAATATATTTTTGCACTCCTTCGTTCTAAATCGCGTTTTCCCAATAAAACACGAACGTCGGGAACGTCAATTTTACAATTGACTATATCTACTTTCGCGCATTAGTGCCTAAAAATTCAACGAAATTATCTATTTAATGAGGATCAGAAACTAATAAGTAGTATGATGGAAGAGTAAAATAGAAAAAATAAATACACTTTACATCATTCTCTGTAGTACACGGGCAAAAATAAGCTTAAACCAGAAGTTTTGAACAATAAATTGACATTTTAAATTTATAAATTTCTACTTTATCGGCATAGTGGACTTGATTTTTTCAAAAGAATTATAATGCCGCAAAAATCCCGCGAAAAGGATTTGAATTTATATAAATTAGATTTAACTAATCCGTGCAAAAAATAGAATACATTTTACGTGCGTGAACAGTATTTGCTTGATTCGCGCGAGATGCGTCGCTCGTGCGCGTTGCGCACTCGCGTCGCCAAACTTCGCGCTCATCTGCAAAATAACTGTTCCCGCACTAATAATGTAAATAACTATTTCTTAAAACTCGCCGAAATTTTCTCTTTACGTAGGTTAGAACTAGCGTATAAACCTATATCAGACGTCTGTTGAGTAGTCAAATCTACTTTTATGTGATTTTTCAAATTTTGACAACACAACAAACAAAAGTTTGTATAAACGACGTTTTTCGTTGTCTATTCGCTTGGTAGCATATATTATGTAATTTGCCAAAAATTGACAGAAAAAGTTTGATTGGCAAACGTCTGCCAATATGAAATACCAAATGTTTATTAATAAACCTTTGTTTGTTGTGTTGTCAAAGTTTGAAAAATTACTTAAAAATAGATTTGACTACTCAACAGACGTCTGATATACGTTTATACACTAGTTCTAACCTACCTACCTCTCTGTTGTTATCTCTGGGTCTATTACGGTAACCAGTTAGTTCTTCCCTCTTATTAGTACACATACTTTCCCACACAATTACAAATATCCTCGCCATAACCTGTTCTTATGAACATTCCTTTACTTTTCAAAATAATGAGATAATTACTTAAAATCATGCTGAACGTGCATAATTAAAATGAGCGCATAGAAGTGAATTCTAATTAAAATGTGACACCGTAAGTAAGTAAAATAAATCACCTGTAATAAAACTAAACCTTGTTAAATGCGCTAGACTTAGGTCAAGAGCGTTTATAAAGCGCTTTATTTGGAGGGAAGGGACCTGGAAAAAGGGCAATAATTCTCAATTAGCGCAGGACATGCAATTTACATGATTTACAACATTTTCCTGGGACGTGCACAGTTCTTGGTTTATTTTTATTGTAAGAAGTGAACGTGGTTTGACAACCAAAACATACTCTACCGACGAATAGTTTTACTTCAGCGAAATTCGCTAGGCAAGTGAACTTATTTAGAAAACCTGGGTTTAATATTGGCCGTTTATTAACTCTTAAAAGCCAGTATCGTTAGAAAATGTGTTTTATGCGTTAAAATCGATTTCATTAAATTAGTTTGCGTTTTGGATATTCGGCTTTGCTCAGTTTATGGTCCCGTCCTAAACTTATAACGTCCGTTGATTATTAACCACGCAATTTACTTGTTGCTGTCAATTAGGATATGCAAAGTTTATTAATATAATTAAATGCGTGTAAAGAAAAAGGCATTACTGGAAGCTGTTCCTACAGACGCTTTCGACGAAGGACAGCGCGATAGTGCGTTATAGGATTTTGAGGCAATACGGTCGTAGATAGATTTGGGTCACAAGATGGCTACGTTTTCTGGCTTTTTGATGGATAAATAACTATAGATAAACAGGAGGGGCATGGAATAACATGGTCAATTTTTCGAGTGTTTTCCACTATTCTCCATTGCTACAAAGAGGTGGTCAAGAAAGTAAGAGGCCCCTTTGCAGGTAACAATGCTGATGCAGAGTTGGGTTTGATACAATCCTTCTTCACTGACAATGAATTAGTTACATATGATGCAAAATTTCTGAAACGCTGTCTTTTCTGGTGTATCCTTGTATTACGAGCAAACCACCATTTTTACTAATACAATTGTTTGTGATTAACGACTTTGACAAAGAAATTGGAAATGCTTATCACAAGCAGGAGAACATTTTACTAGGTAAAAAAAAGCACTTTAATGTTCCTTACTGATTTTTTCAAATGCGCCAAGGGTTGATTTTACGACTACGAACAACCAGAGTTCAATTCCTTCTTCAGGTTCTCGGCAGTAAACATTCACACAGCAGTTTTAACAATGGTTCTTTGTGATCACAAAATATACTAGCTCGCCTACTTGCATTGTTCTTAACCAAATACGGCAATTTTTTAATTTCATTAATTATTAAGATGCGACAAATGTACTCTAAAGTCACCTTTTACTATTAACGCCCCTCTGTAATCTATGCGTACGGTCATAAGGGGTTAGCATTCAGTCTGACTCTAGGTCTGACTGGTTATCTTTCGCGCTCGAGGGTCATATAAACAAACATACTAACATATCTCGCCAGGGGGGGGGGGGGGTGCCCCGCCCGACCGAGCTGTCGCTGTGCTTTCCTGGACCTCCGACTTCGGTCGGCGATTGGGGTCATACCTATTTGGGAAAGGGTTACGCCGCCACCACGTATATTATTATTTAGGGTACATATCCCGTCTCGGCCCTCTGCTTAGGACCCCCGGCTAATAGATCAGTACCGTTGACCTATGCTCTCACCTGCGAACACACCTGAAGGTCAAGCTTACCCCCAAACCCAAACAAACCAAATATGCTTTTCCGAGATCGATTATATCCGGATATCTGCCAAGGGTTTTACATAACAATAGCCCAACGACCAAGCGCGGTGAGCATGATGGACTGCACAATTCACTCACCACCTACGAGAGGGAAAGGAATAGTTCACGACTCTTCCATAGATCGCCTCTTTGTTAACGAACGTCGCTTAACGCCTTTTTAGTATCAACCGCTGCTTAGTATCTATCACCTTACATAGTGGAGAGGGAAAGGAATATCTCATATATACCATAGATCGCCTCTTTGTTAACGACAGCTGATTAACTCTGAAAGCTTTTTTTGTATCAACCAGTGCAAGTGCAATCAAGTTGTAGTAGAAAATCTTCAGAAGTACGTATTCAAGCTCGAAAATTGATGCCCATGTGTAAATAATGTACACCTGAATTATGTAAAACATGTAGAGAACTACTCATTGCTATTATGGTATAATTAGAAACACATGTATAGCTGTACATAATTTTTTAACGTTCGTGGAGAAATCGCATAATCTCTGAGATTGAAGTTGGCACTCAGGAATGTTACGCACACTCTTACCAACTTAAAGTAATCATGAAATTTGGAGTATTATAACCTCACATTTCGACGAAATGAAGTGAACGTTTAATTAATATTGTGAAAAATTTAGGACTTCTGCAAATTTTTTTGTTGAAAACGGTTAAGGTGCTCTCTAGCCATTTTTATTAATTTCATGATCGTACCTGGGGGGCTTAATAATTTCACATATCGATTTCTTCTTTTAAAAACTTATTAGAGTCACGTAACCGAAAAAGTCACTAATTGTTCAGTTCTTCTCTGACGCACAAAGAAAAATCGCGACAATCACGAATATCATGTCGGGGTCAAAAAATTATGGTTTACCAATACGCGGCTCAACCGATTGGGACCAAATTTGGTACACATATTATTAGGCAGAAAAAAAGAGAGCTGAAAAGTTTTTAGGTAGAACGGGCATGACACCTCGGGCCATCTGCCGAAATAATGATCTCGCATCCGGGCCAACTGCCGAAATTGGGCGGAGAATTTTCCCACGGTCCCCAGAATTTTCCCACACCCCAGTGCCTCAATACCTACTAGTATTCTAGTAAAACTTCAATAAATTTTGTGGATTAACATTTATCAATCTAATTACAAATAGGTACTTTAAGTGTATAATTCAACATCTAAACAATGAATTAATGGATTCACGTATAGAAGCTTAGATAAGTTTAAGTGAAACTTTAGAGACCGTCCTTAAATGTATTATAATGGCAATCGAGCGAGTTCGTCACTAATTAAGAGGATATTACAAAAGTTCCAAATGGGAAACCTAATGGGGCAAGCCTATTCACAATCACTTATGAAATAATTCTGGGAGCAGGATAATTGAAATTCGTCGAAAATGTTTGGGAATGCGGCGAGTAAACCAAAACCTTTTTTCTGAACACGGTATGCCGCAGGGCAGTGTAGATACTTTCGTTCGAGTAATGGAAACGAATGCAATAAACAATAAAACCTCGATAGGTGCGAGTTAGTGGGTCGGGCGTTTTTAATGTAAGGAGAAAGGACGAACTAAAATTTACAAGTAAAGGGATAATAAAATAAATAAAGGCACCTGACGTATGACGGCTGTTTAAATGTCTCCTGCCTGAAACTTTTGTCAACTGGAAGTTGAAAAGAACGACGTTTCACATGGATGAAAACCGATATAAGTTTTTCCAGCCTTGGAATAAGCATTATATTATTATCCCGTAGGGAACTAAATTGGAACTTCAGTAGATCCTACTTTCTTTCTAAGGACAATCATACCCTAAAATTATATATTTTAGCTATTCATGATATGTCTGTTGGTGCGTTATCAGCCATTGTTAGTGAAACAAACTATCCAGGTACGTCTTTGAAATAAGTTTAGGTGGAAGAACAGTTCAGGATTCGTTATTAAAAGTAACCTTCTCCTTGAAGTTGAAACAAAATTTATGTAATTTCGCTGACGTTAATAGCAAATTGCCGAATCTCACGAATTTTAGGTATGATATGAATATACAGTCTAGTGCTATTCTAATACACTCGAGCATGAATTTAAAGGGAATCATCCCTTTTCTGAGTACCTTTTCACGCGATTAACTGCACGTAATCCAGCGATTTCCGAGTAAATAGATAAACTTGTAATAAAAGTGTAGTTATCATTGTATCTGAATCGCGTTGAAAATTTCGAACTTCTCATTTAACGTGTAAATATTTTATTACAGGTGGATCAATTCCCTGTAGGATCCTAAGATCCCAACTTGCCATGCCACATCTCAAAACATCGTTTCCGGAAGCACTTGGCATGGCGTTAGACGAACAACAAACATTACTGAACTCCTCAGGTGAGCTCTCTAATTTATTACATCAAAAGAAATTCAATATGCTCATAAAAAGGTCTGTAAAGTTTTCACGCGATGTTCAAGGAAACGGTTTTCCGTTTGCGCTCTGTGCCAAACGATGGCGCCACCGCGCGTGAAATGTAGAAAACGTGAATGTACATTTACGGGAAATTTCATTACGCATACAGTTTTGTATTTCGAACACAGGTGGATCTGAAACCCTTTTTCTTAGTTTCAAGATGCAACAGATGGACAAATCTGCGTAAGTAAAAAGGATTCATCGATTTTCTAAATACGTTACGAACATGTAAAATTACCCATTCAATTTTTCTGCATTTATTTATAACGAGTTGTCCCGATAGACGTTGTCCTGTCTCATCTATGAAAATTCAATTCCGAGTTCAATTCCAACTGGAAATAATAATAAAAAAATATTTCAAAAACAGTGCTTATTTGTAATGCTTTCTGATACACAACATTGTTAGTTTTGTTTTCTGGTGTTTGAATAAAGTTGAAAGTTTTCCAACATGGAACAGGCGACATACAATTGGCCATGTGCAAAACATGGATTTTCCAGATTGATTTCACAAACACGTCCATTACCCTTGTTATTTAATTTTCGATATTTCCAAATGCAAGCCGAACTGGAAATTGAAAATGTTTAAAGTCGAATGGCATATTTATCGTTCACTCGTTCGGAATCATTTGTACTACCCTTTTGAAATAATGACTTCGATCATGGTTATTAATTCCAGTACCGCATGGCGGGTGCCACTAAGACGTGGCTGGTTTATTTTCCGCAACATATGATTACCGATCCAAGTTTTAATTGCAGATTGGGTGGTGGTAATCCGCTCAATTCCAGAGAGTTTACAAATTCCCTGGGCTAACGGGCAACATAATCTTGTTTACGATTCGTATGTTATCAAGTCGCCCGCAATCTTATTTCAAATGGCGTGATTTTTACTTTTGGAACAAACACTTCTCAAAAAACTCACTGAAGCAACTGAAAACTGAATAAACGTTCCAATCGAATGGAATAAATTCATTATTTCGATTACTGTACATATTTATAGAAAATCACATCAAATTTAAATTATAAAATTGGCATTCTTCAACGTGAAAATGAGAACCCCTGACAGTTACAGCCCGCAATTTTTTTAAATGGGAAGTATCAGCTGGAAAGGTGTCTTCATTCTCTATCCAAAGATGTTATTGTTTCCAATTTATATATAATATATAAGTTATATGCTAAGATTTTCGAGCATTTTATACGTATGGGCGATGTCAAGTGATGCCAATACCAGTGGTATTTTATCCGGTCTGCTCGTATTTCCCTAAAATCATTCCCACGAGTTAGGCGAAACGTTAAGGGTAGAAGTAGTCGAACCATTGGAGTCTGCTTTGTCGTTACCACACAAATAATGCATTGATTTTAGAAAATTAAGTGCTGTTACGACCAAAGACGCTTATCCTCTTCCGCACAACTCTGCAATATTAGATAGATTACGCAAAATTTTTATCTAACATTAAACTTAAAAGCGCGTATTGGCAAATCAAATTCAAAAGACGTTGACGGTTCTGCGGGGAGGTCTGTTTCAATGTACGCGTATGCCTTTTGGGTTATACAATGCACCCGCAACATGGCAAAGATTTTCAGACGCAGTCGTCCATATCACGGACATTTAAAAGTCTTAAACAACACACTCAATCGATTAGATGCAGCGTGATTAGGTATAAATACGGATTATTAGCAAAAATGTATAGATTTAGCTAAGTGGTACCGAAGATTCGTATACATAACTTTGAAAGTCTTACCACTGCTACGTGGCTCATGACGTTGACCAGTGCCGTTCCGTAGAACGTCCCGGCCTGGTCATGCAATCATAATACCCGGCCCAAAAAATCGAAAATACTCATACTCATATTTACAAAAAAAATATACCACCGACCCGGGCCCGTAGATCGTAGAAAGAAAACTGAGGTTGAGTTAGCATTAATTAGCGTTTAGAAAGCAGGTAGAGTGGGTAAAGCTAAAGATAGGATGGCTTGCAGCCTTGCACTTGCCAGTAACGTAGAGAGTCAGAGAACAGAAAACTGAGGTTGATGACGTTGACCTTATTTCCCGAGTTCCCCACCACGTAGCGAGAGCCCGTGAACTGGTCCAGGTTCGGACTTGTATACAGTCTACTGATAGGCGGAACGAAGTTTGCCGGGTCTGCTAGTTTCGTACACGTATTTTTGCGGTACCAAATTACATTCACAAGGTCGTCCAGGACAATGACCCCATCGTCCAAGGTCGATGATCCCATGTTGGCAATGTCGAATTACATTTTCAAGGTTGTCCAATGTGAATGGCCCCCTTTTTTGCGATGCCAGATTCCTGTCAAGTTCAAGGTCAATAACTCTCGTCCAAGGTCCAAACTTAATATTACCAAAGTCCAAAGTCATCGACACATATTTTTGGACGGGTAATTTAACTTGGATGAATTTGAAGTAGTAGTTTGACACCGCAAAAATGGACCTTGGTTGATTTGGAATATGGAATTTGATAGCACTAAGAAAATGCAGTCATTAACCTTAGATGACAAAAATTTGGCACTTCAAAGAAGGGGTCACTGACCTTGAGCGAAGGTCATTGGCATTCGACGAATATGTAATTTGGTACTATAAAAAAATTAAGAATAATCAATGCTAATTTGCCAAAAACAGAGAGTGGGGGCAAGTGCCCTTTCGTCTTGATTAAAGTAAAAGTCAATAGAACTTCGATAGATTCGGTTCCCTAATACCGTGTTTTGCGGTGCCAAATTATATTTACAAAGTCGTCTAGGTCAATGACTCCATTTTTGTGTCGTGCATTTTCAAGGTAATCCACGGTGAATGATCACACTTTTCCGGTGCCAATATACCTTGAAGATCAATACCCCCATATTCTTTGCAGTGTCAAATTAAATTTTCTAGGGAATCCAAGGTCAATGACCCTCACCTAAGGTTAATGACCCTCGTTGCGCTGCCAACATTTTCAAGGTCGTGCAAGTCAATGACCCCATTTTTGTGTCGTATTAAATTGCATTTTGAAGGTAACCCAAGGTCAGTGACAATGACATCAATTTTTGCGTTGTGAAATTACATTTTCAAGGCCATCCATGGTCAATGCCCTTATTTTCGTTGCGGTGACTATTTACGATTTTAAGGGAATCCAAGGTCATTTCTTGCGGTGCCAAATTAGTTTTAGGGGCATCCAAGGGCAATGACGCTAAGATCGATATCTCCAATTTTGCGGTTTCAAAATATAGTTCCAAGGTGTAAAACTACATTTTTAAAGTCGTCGGACGGTGTCAAGTTACATTTTTTCGGGCGATTGACCTTGGATGAACTTGAAATAGTAATTTGACACTGCCAAATGGACCATTGAGCCTGGTTGGCGTTGAAATTGTAATTAGGCATCGCAATTAGATTGTGATCATTGACCGTGGATGACCTTGGAAATATAATTCCACCCAGAGCTGGGTCGAGCGTTCTAAAAACCGCTCGAGCGTTCCAATTTTGTCAAAAATGCTCGCATTCCTAAAAGTGGTCGAGCGGTTTATTGCGAGCGCTCAGGAAAAGTGCTTGTGAGCGGAAAAAACGCTCAAGAGCGGAAAAAACCGATCAGGAGCGGAAAAAACGCTGCTTAATCCTTCAGCGCTTGAGGGCGGTTAAAAGCGTTCAGGAGCGGAAGAAGAGCTTGCGAGCGGGAAAAAAACACTCATGAGCGGAAAAAGCGCTCGGGATCGGAAAAAACCGCTGGCGAGCGAAAAAACCGCTCGAGAGATGGAAAAAGCGCTCGAGCGATGAGCACTTTAAGTAAACGCTCGAGTATCGAGCACTAAGCGACCTTGAAAATCTAATTTGGCACTCCATAAAAAAATAAAATATAATCTCAGCTAATTCGTCGAAAACAGAGAGTTGGAGCAAGTGCCCTTTGATCTTCACCTTGGCCTACTTTTCAAGAACACCGTCACGTGACCTTAACCTTGATCTACTTTTCAACCACCAGGAGCTGAGCGACCTGGAACTGGTTCTAGTTCTAAATACACCAAAGTTATACGTAATTGATTTTATTGCCAAAAAGGCGTTTGCCATTTTGGAATCGCTTCCAAATCCATTTCCTCGATACCATTTAACGGAACATCTGTTTCAAACAAAATCTTTTTTGGACCCCGCTGGGATCTTGAAACGTAAATATCCGATGAAATGTGAAAATCAAAATTTGGAGTTTAACTTCCCAATTTTTTATTGGTTAATAATCTTATCTCTAAGGCGTTGACAATTTTGTACATAAATGAGAGAAGCTACTGAGACTGAATATTGAATACGTTAAAAAATCAACTAGTTGAACAATTAACTTCCCCAGTTAAGTCCTACACAGTAACTACTAACTAGAAACTTTATTTGAAAATTTACCCATTATCGTACTATCCTTGGGGGTCCCTTCTTTTTAAATTTAATCTGTTTGAAGCAATAAAATAACGTGTTATTGAAAACGAACTAAAATGTCCAAGGTATCCCTACTGTATTTACATCATGGTTCTTTGCAGCCTACAACAAAATAGCAAAAGTCACACCTTCTAATCCTTATCAATTTAATATGGCGTCGCTCTCATCTTTGCTGAGAGTCAAGGGTATACGTTGACCAGTTTATACGGCAAATGTCATGGATAAGTCCCGAGTGAATGGAAGTTCGGCGCGCCTCAAAACCACAACCTGTGGACATTTCTCATCACCATTCATACTATGTTTTTTAATACTTAATTTATTGGAGTACGAGACTTGTTAATTATAAATTCTAATGTATTCGTTTGAACTTTATAGTCAATTGTTCTGTTAGGTATTTTTTGTGTTTTCCATACGAGGTGATTGTTCGGTTTTCACATGCATGTTAAAATTTTCCGCAATTTTGTAATCTGCCAGGGTCCCGTAGATAACTGGTCACTTGAATTCAGTTCGTCCCGAAAATAAGTTATACGGATAGAATTAAAATAATAGCAATAAAAATGTAGGTGTGATTGGTAAAGGCGTGAATAACGAATTCGAAACAATTATTGAAGATTTGCACATTTACTCTAACCTCCTTATTTACCTTATTGCTCTTCCTTATCCCTCTCGTGGTGTAGATATTTCATAAAAAAGGGGTAAGTGTAAACATTTAATTAAAATAGTCCATTTAAATTCACAACAGTGATGGTGTGTAAATATATATTTACTCGTCTATTTCAAAACGATTAGCGTTACATTAATACATTTTTTTGTCTTTTCCTATGTTTTTTTTAAACATTTATTTATTTATTTATATATTATAACCTACATGTATTTAATAAAAAAAAAAAGGTTTCAAGATTTAAGAAAGGAAGAAAATTTCATTTAAAGATATTGTAGAAGGGAAAGTGCCAATAATACTAGTGGCATTGCCGCGCTGAATGGCCAGACTAATTTTTTGAATAAGAAATGTTTTTGAACGGTGCTCTCCTGTGGCATTTTTCAATTTCTTTCCTAAAGTATTTACAAATTGCATAGCTTCCGTACACCACGGTCCAAGGGTTTCAACAGCGAAAGGTAAAAACTGGTAACCTGCATTGATAATTTCCTGATATTTCCTCACCTTGTTAGCAGCAGTTTGTCTCGCAACCTCTCCAGTGGAATGCGAGGAAAGTGACAAGCGAGAAGAGGCAAGTGTATCAGAACAAGTCGCATCCCAAATTAAGTGTAGACCATGAGACCAAGGGATCAGAGTCATACCATCTACCCGTTTTCCGTCTGTTCTTGATAGTCCTAGGGGTTCTAATGTTGAAGGAATGTTTGCTGAGGCAAGAGCTTTCTGAATAATGTAATTGAGTTCGCGATGACGTGATAATCTTCCAGCACTTTTCTGACAAGATAGACCATGTGTGCCTTGACGGTCAACAAGCATGCCACATATGTATACAGTGGTGGGATTCACAAATTGTGCAACCTAGACGTAGAGCCAGTGCTATTCGAAAAACATTATCATTCAGTAGTGTTCCCAGATTTTTACAAGGAAGCGCATTGAGCCACGCTCCAGAAACTGATGATTGGCAGGCTAGATATCTTGCTGTATCGACATTTATTTTTTTGTATTTATTTATTTTATGGAAACACAAGGCTTCTTGACAGCAATGTTCTGACTTTACAGTTAACGTTTTCCCATTAGGAGGATTATCATAAAAATAAATAAATAAATATATCTGTGTGTTGGGTTTATAAAACGACAGCCTTCAGCCGTGGATAAACAAGGAGGTTATGTCTTTCATTTGTTTGTGGATGTTACTTAATTTTATGGAACTTTTGTAATATAACTTTGGGGAAATTAACGTAAGTTTAAGGATAAGTCGATACACCAAGTTAGGTTACATTGCGTTATACGGACCCCGAGCTATAATCTGAAATTAATATAAATGGTTAGAGGGTACCTTCTTGCGGAAGAAGCCCTAAATTTTTCACAATTTTAATAAAAAGCTCACTTTATTTTCATCGAAATGTGAGGTTAAGTAACTTCATATTTCTTAAATAACGTCGTAGGGAGGATACATATTGCTCTTTCCGTATTGACCACCTTATACACGCGAGAGGGAGAGGGGCACGCCTCGCATCTTCCATGCGCTACCTTTTTCGCATCGACCACCTTTTTCGTAGCCATCTCCTTTTCCGTATCGAACGCTTGAAAACCCGACATGGGAAGGGCCATCTCTCGCCTTTGAGCCGGCTTTTTCGTATTAACCGCCTTTTTTGTATGGACCACCGCTTAAACCTGACCGCCTTTTGCACCCGAGACCAATTTCATGAAATTCACCGGTCACCCAGTCACTTGTTCATCTCTCCCCTATTCATAAATTGGTGCCTTGAGCTATGGTGGGAATTGTGCTACTAAAAAGCGGACTATGATATTTATTGCATTGCCTTTAGGTTTATTGAAATAATTTAGGAATAATCATTTAGGAGTAAGCAAATGTTCTGGCTCTTTGTTTTAAAATAAATTTTAAATAGAACTAGATTTTTCCACGGAACTTCGTACGCTCGAGATTGGCGGATATAGTGATAAAGGAAACCCAACAGAATGTAAAAATGTAAACACATAGTCACGGTACGACGCAAGTGACTTGGCGCGATCGATACGCGAAATAGCAGAGTGTGACATCAACGAAAAAAGAAATTTAAAAAATGTAATAATCCGATCGGACCCAATTGTGAAACTAAACCATCCGGGGACATTCAGAGACACAACAAATTTTCATCAAAATCTGTCCAGCCGTTTCGGAGTTCAGTCACAAACAAACGTACAGAAGAATTTTATATATAAAGAAGAGATAACCGATTCCTCAAACACGAACTATCCCCCATCGTTTCCTTCAGATTTTTGTTATATTCTCTCACAATTTCCTCTTATTTGCTCATTTTTATGGGGGCAAGAATTTCCTACGATTCTCTTCAGTCTTTATCTTAGAAGTAATGAAACGGATATTTGGGAATCACTTGAACCCCGTTGGGATTTTAATCGTCCTCGATAATGATATTCACAGATAATAAACAGTGCGATCGTATTTAGAAATTGCAATATTAAGACTAAACTAATAAATGTGAAAGTTGTACGTTCGTTGTTAATTATTCTCGAATTTGTAGGTAGCGGAGGACGTTCGCAGCTGTCAGTGACCATTGTGGACGCGGGCGGCACACCACAACCGAGTCCATTATCGGAACGTAGCACTCAGCATTTGTTAGAGACTCCGTTGGATTCAGGTTTGTAAACGACTGATCGTAATTAGTTTTCTCTCCATTTCTCTTAATGATTCCATTTTTCATGTTTCAAGTGTTAGATTAACTTATCGTTTGTGTAGTGTTTAAACTCATAATACTCACATACGTTAACTACCTACTAACAACCACGCTATTGTAGTCTTGCTGATTCGTTGCGACACTGTTTTAGTTTTGGAATAAGTTTTTTTTGTATTTGTAGTAATGTTCGAAGTAGACGTACCGAGATTATTAAGAAAAAGCTAGCCAAAGCTTCGTAAGTATCGTGCTTATAATTCCATAAATGTTTAAAGCTCCTTTACGAAATGTTCATTGTTTATGAAATTTAATTAAACGAATTTTAACCATTGTTTGAGGAAAGTTATTTAGAAAGTTCGACAAAGGTTACAGCAGCAGATGTATCCAACATGAACTTTGTAATACAGACGATAGCGATTTATTTCTATACCTAAAGGAGACCTTTGTAGCGGGTCCGCAAGGTTTTCATATGCTACCTACAACACTATTAAGAAATAACGAGAGGGTGGATTTAAGGCACTAATTTTCTTACATAACTTTGATATTGTGGCCACAGCTGATGTGAGCAATAACGTTTTAAGGCCCGAAGGTATGAGAAGTAGTGACCATCGCCGCCCCATATAAATTTTTCTTGAATAAATTCAACGTTTGTTGAGTAAACTCCACAATGTTGTCAGGTCCGTGAAATAAGCACTTTCATTCGGTAGAAACTATCAGGCGAACGCTTATCGTTGGTCCTTCGTAGTGCCTCATAAATATACCCCTAATGCAATGCTTGCCCCTTATCATTATTGGGAGTACTAACATCGGACTCATGCACACCGTTAGCGCCTTTTCAGTTTTATAGCATGCACATTTGAACAGCCATTAGTTTCAGAGAAATTGATACTCCCAGTAACGATAGTTAGTTTTTCCTAAACCGGTAAGCAACCACTTTTCCACCAAGGATATCAATATCTCTTACGTTCTTGCATTTATTTACACGGAAAATTATTTTAGATAGAGTTAACGGTAACATAAAAAACCGAACCCCAGAAACAGTAAGGATTTACTTCCGTCTGATCGTTAGTGCTTCTTCTGCGCACTTGTTCAAGAAGTGGAGCCACCTTTTTAAGGCGTTTCATTTTTTGAAACCCAATAAAAAAACTAAATTTTTTGTATTCTCAGACACATTTTATTTCCCTTTCTTTTCGTTTAGTTTATACAGGGTGTTTTTTTGGGAGCTTTAGTTAAAAGTTTCTGGGAAAGTAAAATAGGTAGGATTTTGAACATTTGTACTTAGGAGTTACTCTGAAGGCCGAATCGATGTAAAATATTTTCAAAATGGCCGCACTTCCGGAAACACCGGAAGTAGATAGTAACTTCGTTATTTTAAATGGCACCCCTATTTTTTATTGCATTTTTGGATTCTATGTGAAATTTCAGTTCTTTTGATACCCATATGTCGATATCTGCCATTTATGGTTTTTAAGTTATTTTGACTTTAAGAAAAAAAAATGGCGGATGCAGATGGTACCTTGATAATTGATTACTTGAAAACGGTTGTAGTCATGGCAACCCATTTTTATCAGTGCATAGAGAATGAATAGGGCTTTCTTTTACTGTACTTAAAACAAAGTTAAGTTGCGTACAACCGCACCTATGGAGATCCAAATTTAAGAAACTTCAAAGTCTATAAACTCAGTTTTTTAAATGGAATGACCATGTTCTTAATATTGCATGAGATAGAGAATCGAAATTGGCATATTTTGATATTACATGTTCCTATAGCTATCTTTAACATTTTCTGATTTATTCCCATTTCATTGAATTGATGCCATTTTTTTGCATTTTCATTTTAGTAGTTGGCCGTGATTTTATAACAATCGAATTTTAAACAAATCAAGAAAAGGATTCTTTAATATCATTGATTCTAGTCTAAATAATTCATTAATAAATAAGTCATTTATTAAGGATATAGGACGGATAATTTTTGAGAAATCTAGACAGTCGTTCAACTGAATTTCTTAAACAACGTATAAGTCTGGAAATTAAGAGAGGTAATGCGATATCTGTTCTAGCAACAATTCCATACCAAAAATGTTTCAACGAAGTTTTTTATATTTTGCATTGAATTTATTTTGTTAATCTTGCATTTGCAATTCAATTCATTTTCTTAAATATTCTCTTGTAGAGCTTTGTATAACTTGTGCTTCAACGGTTTGTAGTGCATTAGGGGTACAAAATTTCAAAAATTCATACAATTTCGTTCTAGTTTTCGAATGAATGTACGGAAAGCACGCGCCGCGATTCTGCCCATTTCACCATAAATAACAATTAAATTTCAAAATAGGTGAAACCACTGCGAGCCATTTTTCGATTTTTGAAAAACTTATGTTAACCTATAACAGTGGGTGATGGATTAGTGTCACTAGATTTGTTTAAAATTCAATTGTTATAGAATCATGGCCGACTACTAAAAAGAAAATCCTAAAAAAATAGTGTCAATTCAATAAAATGGGAATAAGTCAGAAACTGTTAAAGATAGCTATAGGAACATGTATTGTCAAAATATGCCCATTTCGATTCTCTATCTCATGGAATAGTAAGAACATGGTCATTCCATTAAAAAAAAACTGAGTTTTTAGTCTTTGAAGTTTCATAAATTTGGATATCCATAGGGGCGGTCGTACGCAACTTAACTTTTTTTTAAGTGCACTAAAAGAAAGCCCTATTCATTCTCTATGCACTGATAAAAATAGGTTGCCATGACTACAACCGTTTGCAAGTAATCAATTATCAAGGTACCATCTGCATCCGCCATTTTTTTTCTTAAAGTCAAAATAACTTAAAAACCATAAATGGTAGATATCGACATATGGGTATCAAAAGAAGTGAAATTTCACGTAGAATCCAAAAAAGCAATAAAAAATAGGGGTTGCCATTTAAAATAACGAAGTTACTATCTACTTCCGGTGTTTCCGGAAGTGCGGCCATTTTGAAAATATTTTACATCGATTCGGCCTTCAGAGTAACTCCTAAGTACAAATTTTCAAAAACCTACCTATTTTACTTTCCCAGAAACTTTTAACTAAAGCTCCCAAAAAAACACCCTGTATATTCTAATATTAACTACATTTTTTTTCTTACTAATTCCAAGTAGGGTTAAGTGGAAGAACAGGGAATTGCTGTCAGCAATTCATCTGAACTTCGCCTTAGGATTCAACCATGTTTAGCACGATAGCAGTCACTTTAGTTTTTTATTGTTATTTATTATATTTACGTTATTTGGTTGAATGAAGACAATGTTATTATAATAATTACTATACCTACGTTCTTGATTGGTTTTATTATTATTTTATTTATTTATATAACTCTTTCATCACAACAATAGGTCAAATTATTAACAATAATGAGTATGTGCACGATTTATTTGGGTATTATGAAACATACGCGTGGGAACGGCACCATCGAACTGTAACTGTCAGTTAGTTCCAGTCACCTGCCTCGAATGCTAAGTCAAAGACTGATAATTTTGTGCCGTGCAGCGACTTTTATAGGTGTTCTCTGGTCTTTGTTAACACTCGGATCTCGACGTGAGAAGCCGATAGGCGTATTCGACGCCGTGTTCCTGGTTACCCTCTCCCTGGACCAGAACTGCCCCTCTAGCGTAGGCTCTACCGTCGCTTTTATTTATTGTCAAGGGTTTGCTGTCGTCCGCCTGACATAAAATCGTGGCGGTGGTGAGCAAGTTTTTTAAAGTCTTGGAGCCCTATTGTACGGATGTCGACTCCCAGGCAGCGTTTTTCTTAGTTAGCTTGCTGAGGGGCCTAGTGACAGCTGCAAAGCCTTTTTTAAACCTCTCATGCCATGAACCGGTTTTTGGCGAGGACTCGTTTGACGTTCTTCGGTTCCGGCGTATCTTGTATGGCGGCTACCTTTTCTGGGTTCGGATGTACTCCTGTCTCCGAGATAACACGACCCAGGTACTTAACTTCCCTGCAGCAGAAGTGGCATTTGGTTCGATTGGCACGAAGTCCACATTCCCGGAGAGCCTTGAGGACGATCTCTACGGCCCTTATGTGTTGTTCAAGCGTTGGCGCATTAGAGTGTTCACAGAAGCGAGCAAGTGAATATTGTGCGGAACCAGGAGTCTCTTAAACCTGTCCATAAGTTTCTGCAAGGTCGCAGGCGCGTTCCGCAACCCGAAAGGCATCCGTCGGAGTCGGTACATTTAAGAGGGGTTAACGAATGCTGTCTTGTCTCGAGCTTCTATGTGGATTTTGATCTGCCCGTATCCACACTGTGGGTCGATTGTGGAAATATAACGTGTGCTTGTCGGGGTGCAACAAGTCGACGATTCGACGTAAAGGTTAATGGTCTCTGACCAGATTTAGCTGCCGGTAGTCTATACAGACGCGAATTCCCATCTGGTTTGTGCATCCAAACAGTAGGAGCGGACCAAGCGCTTTGGCATTCCTCGACAACGTTGAGTTCCCTCATCATTTGAAGCTCTTTTTCTACCAACCAACCAGTATGGTTGTACGGAAATTTGAAGACTGTCAATCCGGTATTCGGCGTGTGATTGGTTCTGGGCAACCGCAGACACTTCTTCATTTTGGAACAGCTTTTCTTTCTGTCTTAATTAAGCGTTAAGATTGTTCACAGAAGCGAGCAAGTGAATATTGTGCGGAACCAGGAGTCTCTTAAACCTGCCCATAAGTCTCTGCAAGGTCTCAGGCGCGTTCCGCAACCCGAAAGGCATCGGTCGGAGTTGTGATGTCCACAAGTAAAACCTCTAAATCTATTACTGGTTGGTTGATATCGTCCATATTTTCCCAGAGGCGGTGGAACACGACTTGTTAGCATCGCTTAGATACTCGGGTGGGGGTTGGAGCCTGGTTATCTAAGCGAATGGCGTGTAAGTGCCATCCCACGGCTGTCACATTATTTGGAGTCTTTGGAAGTGGAGTGTGTGCCATACTTTC